GCCCCCAACAACAGTCTGGGTCCTCCTTTCACCCACCTCGAAAGGATGGAAGGCTGAGTCAACCTTTGAGCCGGTGAGATTTGAACAGCCGAACTGCAGAACTGCAGTCAGCCGAAGTAGCCTGTAGTGCTGCATTTAACCACTGCGCCACCTCGGCTCTGGACCCTGGAGGGGAAGGATTTATAGAAACTTTCAATCTGTAACTTTCGTGCATTTTGAATCCAATCTTCCTTTTGCTGCTATCATTCCAAACTGAGTAAAAGTTCTTCTTCTCTATCTCAATGGCGTTTGGAGCGTCTCTTTCTTGGGTTTTGAATGGAGACAGGTCTGACATTAGGGAAGATCTGCTTTATTAGCCAGCCCGGAGACCCCAGTCTACCGAGGGGGCTAAGCATACAATGTCAACCCATGGGAGCGACCAGGAAGAGTCTGGAGCCCTGCGGTTGACCTCCCCCCAGCCACCCCAGTGCTGTGAGGAGACGGAATGGCTGGAGGAACTGCAACTTGAGGAGATTCCAGTCTGAGCCAGATGGTTGCTGGGTGTAGGATGCATGGAAGACCCCGAGGAGCATCCCCTGGGGGTGACTCTCACCAGAGGCCAACGTGGAGATTATGCCCTGCCAGAATCTGACAAAGAGGACCTCTGCTGACCCATGTCTTGCAACTAGTGCATGAAGCAATCGAGAGTCGGAGAGCTTGGAAGGCCCTTGCATGCAAACATGCCCTGCCAGCACACGGAGAGGCCTCCGGTGAGGTAGTAAGGGGAGCTTCCATCTCCACAACCACAGCCGTGGCCCCTGTCGCTCCACAGAGGGCAGCTTTGGCAGCCGCTGCCCAGCAACATGGAGAAAGCACTGGGCATTTCCAGCGGAGGATTTTAGCAGGCTCTGTGAGATTTTAGCATGCGCTGTGACATCGGGGGAACTTCCACCAGTGGGGTAGGGAAAATCTACCCTTGGAAACTTGCAGTGTGGATTCCTTTGGGGCGTTTCCTCATCACGGACTGCAGGAGTGGGAAGCTGGGAGGAACAACGGGGCCTTTTGTGATCAGGACTGCCAGGAAGCCGCTTGAAAGCAGCCAAGCGTAGACCGGGTTTCCCACGCCGCCTCCTGTTCGATTCCCGGCTGAAGGGCGCAGAGGGACCGTCCAATGGAAGCCTTCGCTGGGAGTGAGGCGCCTGATTTGACGAGGGGCGAGGCAGGGCGCAGTCCTGGCCACAAGGGGGCGAAATCTTTCCAACCAGCTTCCCTGGCGTAGCGAAGCGGGACGGCGGAGGCTGAGACGATCCTCGGTTAGCGCGCTCGGCGTCTTTCCGAGGCTGCTTCCAATCTGGAGGACGTAAAGAAGACGACAGCCGGGAGTAAAGAAAGTGCTTCATACGGCAAGGTAAGGACGCGCTGGAACTACGCTACCCGCCCCTTCTCCCCACCTGTTGCTGAGCTTTCGCCTGCCTCGTCCGCACAACGCATCCCCGCTGGGCTCGGTGCTAAGGACTGTTAAATGACTGCTGGGCTAAGCAACCCGAGGGTCACTTTACAGCCACATTAGCTGTTGCCTCGAGGGATGGAAGGACGTTGGCTTCACATAAACAGAGTTTAATAGAAGGGTCCCAATCCGGATGGATGGCCGTTGGTTGGTTATGTGCTATTAGGTCGTTGTCCACTCAACAGCACAAGTTTTCCTTCCCTCCACCTTTCTCAGCATTTTAAAGGGAGCTATGATGGTGTCCAGAGAAAGGTGGATAATGAAAATCTTGGATAATAAGTAAAATGTATATAACTGGATGCAATTTTCTAATATCCTGCAATGTCAGACAAGAATGTCAACAAATGCAGGGGGGGGGGGGAACAAGAAAAGAAGCAGAATTCTTTTTCAAAACATCAGAGGAATCACCGCAAACGTTTACAGCAAAGGGAAGAGGTCCATAGTCTTTTCCTCCCTCCTGCCCAGTTCTCACATGGGCCCATTGGCTCCTTTGCTGATTTCCTCTTGGTCATCAGTTCTGCATTTCTGCCTTGGGCCAAACAAAAGGCGCAAGGAAAGTTCTAGGCCAGGTGTGGACAGGAGAAACAGGCTCAGATTCAACACAAACAAGGCAGAATGGCCATTCCTTCAGAAGTCGGCTAATGCCGGCTTAGTGGCAATCTTGGCTGTTGCTGCAGTGGTGCTTTGTCATGGAGAGTAAGCTGACAACCTGGAGGAGCTGACGGAAGCCAATTGAAGTTGTGGTTTGGAGAGAACTTTGCCAGCTCTTTAGTTTTTCTAAATAAGACTATGCATGAGCGATAATCATCTCACAAAAAGATTACTGTACTATAATTCGCTTTACAGAGACTTCCCTTGGTTAACAGGATGGAGAGGTCTTGAGAGATGGCCATACTCCTCAAGGCCCGTCCCAGATCATCTCAGAAGGCAATAAATGCAGACCTGGGCTCAATTTGTGCATTGATAGCAATGGATCCAGGAAATCCACTTCTGTGCCTCAGTACTTTATTTACATCCTTCCCTAATAAGGGGAAGTTGGAGATAAGATAATGGTGTGGCCATGGGGGGGGGGTGTCTTCAGGGGTGGCCTTGATTCAGTGGAATATAATTAAATAAAGGATGGCCAGAATTGTTGCCTATTCTATTTTAAAACATGGGATAGAACATAGAACATGTTACCTGTGAACGTGATTGTGTTTACTGGCGCCTGAGATGTGATTTTTAGAAAGACCATTTAATGGCCTAGTACAATGTGTGAACTCGGCCCATGAATTTGAATGAAGGTCTGAGAAGCCTTTTAATATTTTGGAGACTATTGAAAGAGGCGGAATATTCTACTTCCCCAAAGAAGAAACGGAGAAAAAATATTAACAAAGTCAGAAAGCCGCCCCAACCTCCCTGCCATCACCTCAAGCAGAAGAAGCCTCAAGTCTTTAGAAACTTTCCCTAGGAAGAAAGCCAGGCCGTTCTTTCCCATAAACAAAGGCCTTCAGCCACATGAGATGAAGGATTTACATCCCCCCCCCACCTAAATTCTAAGGACAGGACGTGACTTTTAGGACATAATAGGTTCACCACATTGAAATAGCAAAATCGACAAGGCTCACTACACGCGCAACCCCCTGGAGCATCTCAGTAACAAAAACCCCGAACCCACTCCCACGGCCAATGGGTCAGCCACCCCAGAAACAGGCTGCTGTCACTCAGATTTCTGGAAAACCAAATAAACAGAGACCCCCTTTCCACGTAGCCAGACTCCATTTTATTTCCAGCATTTTTCTCCCGGCTTCGAACCAGCCTGGATTTTTATTCCACCAAGGGAATAATGATAGAACAAATTCCTTAATTCTATCCAGTTTGAACATTTGTTTCTCATGCAAAATTAGTTCCGGTTGCTTTTCTTCCATCAGGATGGCTAGTTATGAGTGGCTAAACCTTCTCCTCCTGTCCTAAATAGCCTGTTTTTTAATCTTTTCTTGAGCTTTTCACTTTCTTTGTCTGCCATCACTAGTTTACCTCAGAGAATATTATGCATGGCTACAGAATCAGTTCAACGTCTTTCTTGAATTCCTGTAATTTGTTAGTGTCATCATGTTGTTCTGGAATCTGTTTGGCTATCATGAAAGAGTTTCATTCACAGTTCTAGTGGAAACAGCATGAAACCTTTTCTCAACTCTCTTTTCAGAATCTCTTTGTTTAGAAATGTTTATGGGATTCTTGGATTGTGAGAATATTTTTACAAAAAATGCAATTTCCAAGTAATGAGGAAGAATTTGGTTTTCCAACGTCTACCTATTGTCACACATAGAAGTCAACAATTGTTGCTAATTTTCTGATTTGGGCAACTTTGGAATACACATATATCACCTTTGGTTGGATGGACAGTATTAAGTTCTAAATATAATAGAACTCTAGTATCTCTGGGCATAATTATATTAATTAAATAGCTATGGAATGGAATGTATAATAAAACAGATTCAAATCCTTTTCCCGTGCTAAATTGACTTTTTGAGGAAAACCAACATTAAAAATGGGAAGAGAAATTGGATGAAAGTGGGATATTGACTTTGGGAAAATTGATAGGATGAGAATGGATTTTTAATATACATTGTGTTGATAAACAAGTATCTGTCAGATGTAACTCTGGCAATATTTACAGGTACAACATTTGTTAACATTATTTGGACCAGCAATATTTTTGTCTTCTGAGACACATGAAATAATAAAACTAGTTCATTCATTTAAAAAACATCTACTATTAGTTTTTATAGATATGTTACGAATAAATCAATTTGATATCCAAAGGTAAGAGCTAAGTGGAATAAAGAATTAATTCCTATATTGTCCAGGCAATGGAACAGTGTCTTAATTATTCTCATTGACTAAATGATATCTGATTCACTGTCCAGATAACCTATAATTGACTGACTTACTGAAGGAAACGTACAGTGTGTAAATCATAGAATCCTAGGGGGTGGAAGGAACCTTGGAGATCTTCTAGTCCAAATCTCTGCCCAAGACAGGAAGACCATCTTGGACAAATGGTTGTCCAGTCTTTTCTTGAAAACATCACCGATGGAGCTCCCACAACTAAGGGACGTAAGCTGTCCCGTTGCTTAATTGTTCTCATTGCAAGAAAAATCCCCCTTAGTTCCAGGCTGAATCTTCCTTTGAAGAGCCTCCACCCTGTCCTGCCCTTGGGTGTTATGGATAATAAATTGACCCCCCCCCCTCCCTCTTACCTGTGACAGCCCTTCAATTATTGGAAGACTGCTATCGTATCTCCATTGAGCCCTTTCTTCATTAGACTAAATTTGGGGTGCTTTAACTTGGGTTCCTTCAAGAGGTGGGATTTGAAGGTGGCTGTTCAGCGGTGGCTGTTCAGGGGTGGGTTCCGGCCAGCTTTACTGCCTCTTTGTGCACGTGCTGGATGTGCGCTATGCACACATGCACAGTTCAATTAAAGATTTCCTGCGCATGCGCAGGACTTAAAAACAAGATGGCGGCGCCAACAGCGCCGACCAGAGAACCGGTTCAGGAGCATGGCAGGCCTCGGTTGCTGCCGGCTCCAGTGGCCCATACCTCTACTGGTTCGTCTGAACCAGGCTGAACTGGTGGGAGCCCAACTCTGTGGCCATTCTAACTCGTGGTCAAAGGTCTTTTTCTTTTGCCAAATGTACAAGTCACTCGAAGAATTCTGTTCTATGCTTTATCTACTTTCTTTTTATCCCAGAATGTTGCCCCTCACAGACTTGTTGCTAGAGAAACTGGCTGTGGAGAAAACCTGGTTCCGAACCATGGTTATCTCCAGCCTGCTGCTGTGCTTGCTGGCCCTCCTCATCCAACAATGTTTGAAAGTCTTTGACATCTGCTACCGTTATTATGTCAACTGCCAGAGACTCCGCAGCTTCCCACAGCCGCCTCGCTTCAATTGGCTCGTAGGCCACTTGGGAATGGTAAGTCCGGCTAGGATAAGGAATGGAAAGATGCCAACATCTAAACGTTTGCACACGCGATCACTACAGGAGATCTGAAATGCTGCCCACAGATGCTTCTCCTAGATCTCACCGCAACCTTGAGGCCTATGACGGACAGAGCCACAAGGATAGTACATCTCTCAAATTCCGGCGGAAGGGAAATAGAACAAGAATTGCTGGAAAGTTAATTGATAAGGAGTAGAACTCTGTGGCTTAGTGGTTAACATATCTGCCTAAGATGCAATACAGCACAGGTTCTAATCCCAGTTAAGGGTATGGCTAGCTGATGAGAGCTAAATAGCTTGAAATAGATCTATACTAGTCTCCCTTTATTTATTTATCAGCACAAATACAACACAAATGTAACAAAGGCAACAGTAAAATATTGGGCTTTGTTACATTTGTGTTGTATT